ATAAATGGTAAAAGAAAGGGCAAGCAAGCTTGATGTGGCCAGTGCCTGGGGCACCTGGGGCAAAATGTAAGAGGATGTGGACTGTAGTGGGCAGTGGAGAATGTGCAAGATAGGACAGGTTCTTTTAGGTGAAGTAAATCATGTTGTGAAAAAGACAAGCAGAAAAGCCTGGGAACACCAATATGCTTAGAGCATAGGCTTGGAGGGAAGACACTGGGATAAACCACAAGTGGGTCACAAAGAGGGAGGTGGAGGAGACCTAGAGGGGGTTATGTGAGCAGCACCTTACTTACTAGGTTTTAAACATATCTCCCTTGGGCCTCCCCGGTGGCGCAGTGGTTGAGCGCTGGGTTGCGAAGCTGCCCGCGGCCTCTGCTGCGCCGGTTCGATCCCCGGCTGCTCCCCGGCCACCGGAGGAGGGTCCCACATGGCACGCAGACCTCTCCTGCCGCCTGCTGCTCCCCTCAGCAGTGTACTTCGGTCCTTCTGCCTGCTCTGCTCCCCGCTCTGGCTCTGGTGAATTCTCTCACCCTCCCGCGCTTCTGACTGTACCCAGTGCATGTACAAACAAACAAACAAATAAATAAATAAACATGCCTCTATTTAAAAAAAAAAATAAACACATCTCTCTTAACCTCTTACCAGGCCCCTTTAAGGGAGAGGGGATACCCCTTCTTTTGAGGGACTGAGGCTCAGGATAATTAGCGTGTCTGAGGCATACTGCTCACAGTAGAGTCTACCTTTGAAACCAAGTCTGCTTAACTTGAAGTTCTCTATCTGCTATCTTTCCACTGTATCAGCCCATGGGCTTAAACCTTTTATTCTCGGGCATTGTCAAAGGGCTCTGAGCGGGAGTGGATGGCACCAGAAGTGCTTATCAAGAAAAAGAGATGGCAGCCTTCTGGACGCTGGATGGAAGGCTGGGGCAAGCGCCATCACTGTTCTGGCCCACATCTCAGATCCAGACATCAGTCACTGAATGATGTCTGAACTGATTTGCCATGTTTCCAAAAGAGAGAGTGGTTAAATACCCTATCCACTTTCTTCCCCTTCCCTAGCTTCCTTCTTTCCTGTTTTCCATTTATAGGGACCTGGTTCCACGGGGCTTAATTGTCTTTTAGTGCAAACCTTGTAGGTTCAATGCCAGACTACTTACTAACTGACTAAGAAGTTCTTCAGTCCTTAACACCTCTGAAATAATGATGTTTCCTCTGTGATAATCCACATGCTGAACTCTGATAGAAAAAGATGCGCTGTCTACCAGTAGTGAGCTTTGTTTTTTTACACTAATGTCTCTAGAATGGCATGTAAACAAGGAAAATGTAGCATGCTAAAGCTTCATACCTTAAAAACACATCTGGAACTACTTGAATGAACTAAAAGTAAAATAAATGCCACGGCAGATTATGCCATACCTTTTCTTTTCACTTAAAGAAAAAAAAAAAAGGAAATGGAAAACATACCACTTCTAGAAGGCCCTGACACTGAATTAGATATTGAAATGGTATCGGTAATGTATTTATATATGCCACATTTTCTTCCATGCGTCAGCCATCTTTGATACATATGTGTTGGCTATTTGCCACGTGAATTGAAATATTACCACATAAGCGACGATCATCTTGTTTAGAACTGGTGTGAACCATTAAAGTAGAAGTACCTGGTTACATATGCCTTTCTCCTGATCTGCTAGGGATTTTTTTTCTCCCCTTTTACTTTTTTTAAAATCATTTTGTGTCAGTCTTTCAATAAATGTCAACATCCCCCATGGCCACTAAAAATAGAAATTACACATAAGAACAGTATAATTTTCATGAACTTGAAAAATTACATAAGAAATATTATAACTTAATATTGGTTTTACTATATCCTCTAATTTGAAATGGAGTGAAATGCTTCTGTGGTTATATCATAGCTCTTTGGCTGTTTGCTATAAAAGTTTCAAGAATATATATTTCAAAATGTTTTTTTTTTTTTTTAAATAATCCAAAACATGCAACAGAGCTCAGCATACTTGAAACACGTTTTCTGAATTTATCTTAAATCTCTCTGCTCCAGAGGGTTTTTGTGTGCTCATGGCTTAGGTCTGGCTAGTTATTTCACCATCCATCCCCATCCTGGATTGATGGCTCTGAACAGCACACAATGAGTTACACATGGTCCTACTTTGTCTTAGTTTTTAGGACCTCTGGGTTGGAACTCTGATCAGAGGGAAGCTAACTGTTGCTGAAATTTGGTGAATGTTAATATCCTAAATATACACACAGTCTGGTGAGGATGTATATTATCTTCATGCTAGCAGTAGTGGGGGTTTTCTGTGCATTGGGCCAGTGGCTATTGTTTCTAAAATATTGATTACATTTGAAGAATGTAAAAAAAAAAAAAAAATGCATCGCGCCTCCCCTGGTGGCGCAGTGGTTGAGCACTGGACTGCGAAGCTGCCCGCAGCCTCTGCAGTGCTGGTTCGATCCCCGGCCACCGACCAGTGAGGGTCCCACGTGGCGCGACAGACCTCTCCTGCAACACCCACTGCTCCCCTCAGCAGTGTACTTTGTTGGTCTGCCTGTTCTGTTCCCCGCTCTGGCTCTGGTGAATTCTCTCACCCTCCCGCGCTTTTGACTGTACCCAGTGCTTATATAAATAAATAAATCTTTAAAAATGTGCATCTACCCATTACCATTGCTATTTCCACTTCTATCTTTACTTCTTTTACATTGTTACTACTATTACTTCTGGAGAGGAATCATTGCAAATGTAGACCAACACAGGCTTGCAAAATAGCTTCAAATCAAAATTATAAGTACATCTAAAACCTTTATAAAATCGACAGAAGAGCAGATATGAAGATTATCTTAAATTTGAAGAGGAAACTCATTGCCAACATTATAGTTTCTTTCCTTTTTTTCTTAGTGTGGGCTATTTTAAAAAGGATAAAACTATGAGTTTAGTAAGACATGTTTTCCAGCTTAGGTATTGCTCCAGGACTGCAGAGGTAAGGAAGGTAGGGGCTCCATCGGCCAAGACTCAGCTTTCATAGGTGAACAAAGCTGAGCGGGGTAACCTCTCTCCCCTGTTTTGGCCCCTACTCTCTTTTCTTTCTATCGCTTTATTTATTTTTTCATTATTCCCACTCCTCCTCCCCCCACCCTCCTGCTCTTCCTCTCTGTCTGTGCACCCACGTGCTTGAAATCTGTGTATCTGGACTGCCTCCTCCAACAGTTCAGCGTGAGTGTTAGCAGAATGAAAACCAGATGGACCAGCAGTTCCCACTGTTATCTCCCCGCCGACTCTGGCAAGCCTCCCCTCTTCCCTCCTTCCTTGGCATGACAGAAATATTTGCCTTTATTTAGGGAGACTTGTATTTGCTGCTGTACCTCTTCCTCAGCTGCAATGTAAGCGGAAAGCTATTTATTCCCTGGTTGTTGAGGTTGGTTGAGGTGAGTAGACTGTGGTGGATTTAATGAGAGAAGAAAGTGGTTTTAAGCCTGCCTTGCTTATGTGTTTTTCAAGAGAAGGTGACTTACTGATGACACTGGTTGTTCAATATTTGGGAAAAGCAGATAGGGAAACAAGTTTTTAACAATAAATTAAAGGTAGAAATATTCTCTGTGAATCTGCCATCAATCCAGTCCTTCCCTGCTCTCCAGCCAGCAGTTGATCAAGAAATAGAGACCCTGAAACAGTTAATTCACTAGATTGTCATTCAAAACAGAGTGATTTTTTTTTTCTTTCTTGTCTCAACCCTAATGTGGTGTCAGTATTATTTCAACTTTCAAATGTGTCCTAATGCAACTTAAGTCTTATGAAAGTGCTTAGAATAAAGGTGAAGTAGATTTGAAATTGTCATTAATTTGGACTTCCATTTTCTTTTAATAATTAACTCTTAAATAATTTTGAGAACTGCTCACCATGATGATCTTCATGTTGTAAGGGACACATTCTTTATCAATAACCTATGTTACTTTACTTTTCAAAAGTCCAAGTGGGAAATACCAGTATCTAAAGTTGCAAGGGACACCTCAAACATTTTGGGGTGTGTACACGTGCACACATGCATGTACATGTGTTTGTAGAAAATTGGAGCTAAAGAAGCACTCATTTTTACTGAGAAGTGTTGCTTTGATAAGATTAGACTGAGAAAAAAATTCAGAATTTCAAAGGAAAAGTATACTTAGTAGAAGGCAGTCTGGAAGTGCAAATGTTCACTATTGGGTCTTCAAGAACTTTCTCCATCTGTTACATACTCGTGACAATATACTAGGAGGCTCTTTAGTTCTTTTGAGTTCACTGTTTGGAACTTTCCCATTCTTATATTAGTCTGCCTGGGATTCATAATATTACTGGTCTTTTTAAAATGTTGGGTCATAAACTTGTGAAGGATCAGTTAAAATAGCTTAAAAATTCATTGGATGACATGCAATATTTATATAGTAGTGCTTTTTTTTTTTTTTTAAACAGAATAGAAAAAATAGTGAGGTATAATCTGGGCGACATAACCTGCTTCATCTCATAGGCCAGAAAACTAAGCACAAAAACCGAATGGCAGGTGTTAGAAAAACTCACAAAATACCGGCACCTGCCAGTATCTCACCTGCATAACAGAGCTTCAGATTTGTGTTATTTCTGAGCTGTCTGAGAGGCTCATTACCATCCTACTTCCTCATCTATTTTTTGCTTAGTGCTAATGTTGGCTTCAGCTTCCAGTGAAGTTGCGCTGTTGCATATAACACCACCAAGGTAGCATCTGCCCCAGACAGAAATAACAATAGGATGTAAAATAACCCAGTTACAAACGAGGTCCTGCCATCTGGCTACACCTTCTTAAGTGGGGTTTGGATGATAAAGTCCTGATTTAAACTTCAGTAGATAAGCCTATTTTATTGATAGATGATGTTGGATTTCTTCTGTTCACTTGCTTGTAAAAAAAAAAGATGGACCCCACTTAAAAAACGGAGGTGTTTTTAAGGAGTAAAATAACATGTTCATATGGCATCCTCCAGATCGGACTGAGAAGCACTCCACGATGCCAGACTCACCTGTGGACGTGAAGACCCCGTCTAGGCTGACTCCGCCCACGATGCCACCTCCCCCGACAACTCAAGGAGCCCCGAGAACCAGTTCATTTACACCGACAACATGTGAGTAGGCATTTCTGCATTTCCTGTTAACATCTTGCAGTTACAGTGGAAAGTTTTTCTGCAAATAAAAATTGAAGGAAAATAAAATCCATTATCAATATATTATGCAAAAATAATGACCATCTCTGCTCTCACCTCCCCACTCCAATATTTCTTTGCCTGTGAGTAGGTACTACGCACAGAAGTATGTCTTAGGTATATTTGTATGATTGCCAATACTTGCCATCCTTTTCATTATAGCTTCCAAGTTGCAGTCTGCTATGATTTCAACAAATGAAGGCCACTGTATTTGGTCTGTACCTCCTGTACCTCCAGTTGTTAATGTTGTAACTTGTAGTTTGACTTACTGGGAGTTCGTTATTTTAGTTAGTTCAGTTGGACTTGGAACATGGAAATAGGCATGATAATTTCTAGGTTACTGCTGATCTTCTTCTGATACTATTTTGTTCTCTGAATGGTTAAAAATAATGTTAAATTCTTACATCCTTAGTTAAGAGGGGTATTACTGTGTGCAACAGTTTTCATGCTGAAAACCTTCTGAAATAAGGAGTTTCTTTTTTTGGCTTGCACCTATCAGACCTTTATTAAACCTTTTCCTTGGTTCCAGCTTGGTTGGATCATAGAGTGTTCTGGATCAATGGTGTGCATTGCTTTCTGTGTTGTCCAAGGAAAGGACAGAACATTTTGATAGCACAGCAAGGTCTCTTTCTTTCCTATGTTTTACAGTAGCAATAGAAGGTAGAGGTTTGTTTTCATCAATTCTGGTTAAAATCATCTCCAAGGATTTGTGAAAGTAATAAATTCTCTTGTTGCTGAGAATACTATTTACAGACCATGTGCCTTGAAATCTATATGAATGAAAAATAAAGGACAGAAATAGATCCATGGATTGTAAGGGATTGGAGAAATACAAGTACCAGGCTGTTTATGCAGTGTTGAACTGCCATTTAAAAGACCTTTCAAATGTGTAAGGAGCAGGAGGCTTCGACAGTGCCTAGATGTAACCCTGTCATCTTATATTTGGTTTGTTGTTACCCAAAGCTACAGCGATGGGCGTATGTCTAGCCTGGTGATACCCTAGTGAGAGGTGCTGGTGAGCGATCATTTCTTGACAGGTTGTTCTGGTACCCATTTGGGCAAGAGACCATTTTAACATCATGAAAAATAGAGTACTTAAAACATCTTCAAACTATGGTTGGAGATAGTTTATCAAAATTATATTTAAATGGTGGGTCTGATAAAGATCAATTTGTCAAATTAATTGATTCTACATGATAAAAGCATTTTCTGTAGTGCGAAACAATGCAGCATTTTCTAGCTTCGTTCTTATGAATTATTACCTTGATTGTTCACGTAAATTTGATTAGAAATGTTTATTGAGTTAACATCCATTCATGTGGTTAGTTGGTTGAGATGTCCCCTTTCCATTTCTTGAAATAATTCCTTAATGGTTGTCGCATACATTTTGGCTTCCTACGTAAAATCTGCATTTCCCCTAGAGAAGTGGTTAAGAAATATGAGGGGGAAAATAGCCTTCTAATTGGGTGGTATAAGGTTAAAACTTGAAAGTCCTATTTCTATAAACACAGCTGTCAGTTGTGTGTACAAAACATGATTAAAAATGTGCAGTGATAAATTTAGTCTCCACCAAATGTACACTTTCTCTAGGGGAGCAGTTTAGAAAGGAATCGTCCTGTTATATTGATATAAGCCTGTGACAAAAGCCTGACATCCAAGCGCTGTTTGTTCTGTGTTTGAAACATTTCAGGTGGTTGGCATATGTGCACATGGGAGGCAGGGCGTCCCTGCATTACAGCCGACTCCCGTTTATTATTAGCTTCTGTGCTCAAAACCATCTTGCAGCGTGAGGAGCAGCCCCCTGTAGTTAGACAGTACCTGAACCTGGGGTGACCCTCTAAAGTAAAAGCATTTTACCAAAAGCTCCAGTGGTTTTTAAATTGTGAAATCTCGATTTAAAGGGAAGGAATTGGTTGTATTTGCTCGTGTGTGTTCTCTGTAAGTTTATTTTTTCTTTCTGATTTTCTGCCTTGACAGTAACTAATGGCACCAGCCATTCACCCACAGCCTTGAATGGCGCCCCATCACCGCCCAATGGCTTCAGCAATGGGCCTTCCTCTTCCTCCTCTTCTTCTCTGGCAAATCAACAGCTGCCTCCAGCCTGTGGTGCCAGGCAGCTCAGTAAGCTGAAGCGGTTCCTTACTACCCTGCAGCAGTTTGGCAATGACATTTCACCAGAGATAGGAGAAAGAGTCCGCACCCTGGTTCTCGGATTGGTGGTAAGCAAACAGAAATCAGCCCAGTTTTCTGGGGTAAAGATGGTGTGTGTGGGAGATTCAGAGGGAGAGATCCTGTTCTGCTTGGCTGGGAGATTGCATGCAAGTCTGATAAATCCCAAAGTTTTCCAGTTCTGCATTATGTGTTAACACTCACCGTGGTTCCTTTTACTCTATGACTACTAACCATAGTGTTATACAGAGTTATTGTTATCTTGACTGTAAGCGTGTGTGTGTGTGTGTGTGTGTGTGTGTGTGTGTGTGTGTGAGTGTATGTGAGAGAGAGAGAGAGAGAGAGAGAGAGAGAGAAAGGAGAGAAATTCAATAAGTATATCTGCCTGGCATAGCTAGTGGCTTTTAACAATGACAAGATGTTTTTGTTATGTTAATGATTCATTTAATTTAATTGGTCCTCATTTTAACTTAGTTGCTTTGGGGGATTTTTATTATAACCCTAGATGAACAAGAATTTATAACAAGTAACACATTTTTTTTTTTTTAAGATTAATAATCTTGTAACTTTTTTTTATTGTGGTAAAATATATAAAATGTAAAATTTATCATTTTAACCATTTCTGAGTATTCAGTTCTGCATCAAACATTAAGTATATTCACATTATTTTGTCACCATCTCCACTGTCCATCTCCAGAACTTGTTTTCATTACTCCAAACTAAAATTCTATACCTATAAAACAGTAATACCCCAGTATCTCCAGCTCCTTCCCCTAACACTTGGGATCCACTAATTGGTTTAAAAAAAAAAAGTTATAAATTTTTTTTTTTTTGTTATAGGTAGACTCTCTTAAGCCATTAGTTTGAGAATAGAAGTGTTAATTTGGGCCCATGATATTATATTCCGTGCATTATCATACTGAAAATTAGAACTTTCATATTCTTCTCTCTTTTTTTTTTTTTTTGCATCCTAAATCACTTTACACATACTGTGATTTTCAATAGGAGCAGAGATTTCATTTAAGAAAGCGATTTTTCCCATAGCAAACTGAGTCATGGAGGAGCTGTGAGTCACGTATTTTGTCCTTTTGTCATCCAGGCTTATGGTGGAACTGTAATTCATATGATAGACATCAGTTTCCTTTTTCTTGAAATAGAGCATTTATTTTTATTACATGGACTTATCATGGGCAAAGCCATACAACTTGTGTTTTGCAAAAGAATTCCCAGAATTAAAAGGCTGGATGAGAGTCTAGTGCAGTAGACTTGCTTCAAATTACAATATCTCACAGATTTGACAGATTTTGCAATTCAAACCCATTAATTCCCTCTCTTCTGCACTCCAAGAACAAAATTTCACATTTCCCACCACCCATGAACTTCCCTTGTACCCCTCCAGGACAGAAAGGTGATTTTTGACAGAAGTGTGTGGGCATACTGCAGTTACTTTTGTCAGTCACATCTTTTCCTTTTTATTAGTTTTACATAATAACCTTTTCAATATGTTAGTAAGTTAGACCAGAGAACCACAAGGTAAATCCAAAGCACCATTTTCATCAAAGAAAATGGTGAATGTTGTTATTAGTAAAAAGTGTTTTTTTTTTGAAATGTTGTTTTACAAAATTCTCGTGTTCTTTAACAATGCTTTCTATAACTTCAAATATAGAAAAATTTGGTAGATCTAACTAGATATTCCCACATATTAAGCAACATACGTACTTCAGAGCACAGCATATTCTCTTTTTTTGAGATTTGTCCAAACATGTTGGGCTAAGTTAGAGGACATTGGAACTTTTCATATAAAAGACAGTGAACATTTGTCAAATGAGTGGAGAATGGATCTTGCTTTGAGCATTTGACTGCAAGTTTTTACAGGTGCCATTTTATTTAAATCTCGGGATCACCCATTGAGGTAGCAATTTTTATGCACCTTTTCATGTGGAGAAACTGAGATTTACAGAAGTAAAATATACAAGACCACACAACTTGCAGTGACAGTCCTGTGATCTGAACCCAGGTAGTAAATCCTAACGAATGACATTGTGCTGTTAATTAGGTGGAGTTGGGACAAGTGTTCGGAAGAATTTTCCTTCAGAATATGGGATAGCCACAAAGAGAAAGATGAAAAAGAAAAAAAAAAACAAACCAACTCTGTGACCTCAGTGTTACAGATAGGAAGTTAGTGTTTATTCATAGTTTCATGTGAAGATGTTTTGAATTTCACAGTATAAAAAACTTGGAACTTAGTGCCCTCATACTTTGTCATAAATGGAAAAGGAACTGCAGAAAAAAAGTGGGTGGAGCAGTTTTCTCAAGGTCCCGTGTTTGGTTTCAAATACCCCAATTATGTCAGGAAAATTGAAGAGAATGAAGAAGTTGACTGAAATTACAGTTCTGATTCTGCCTAGGAATTCAGGAAAGTAAAGTATGATTAACTTACCAGTAAGTTGGTTACATGGATGCCTTTCCAGTAAGTCAGTTGAGCATTAAGTAGGTGCTTCTATGTTTGCATGCTACCCCCTGGAGGATACCACAGGATAAGGGCTTGCTGACCTGGGGTAGGGCAGGAGTGCTTTAGCATCATTTAGCACCATCTCTTTTGGGCAGAGTAATAC